TTCAGAAGGAAACAACACTCCATATTTCAGAGTTCCTTTGATATATCTCAGAATTATGACAGCAGCTTGGAAATGAGACCACTTTGGATTATTCATGAATCTTCTAACCAATCCAACTGCATAACAAATGTCAGGTTTAGTATTGCATAAATACCTTAGAGAACCAACCAACTGTTTGAAGGTTGTAGTATCAACAGAATCACCATCAGAGTCAGAATCCAATTTTTGATTGGTTTCTGATGGTGTCACAGCAACTTTACAATTCTGCAGCTTAAATCTCTTCAGAAGTTCTAGTTCTTACTTCAACTGATGTAGAATGATACCTTTCTTTGAGTACAGAATATCCATCCCTAGGAAATATGCCATATTTCCTAGATCTGTCATCTCGAACTCATTCATCAGAACTTCTTTGAACTTCTTTATATCTTCTGGGAAGCTACCTGTTAGCAAAATGTCATTAACATAGAGACACACCAGAATCATATTGTTATCAGAGTGTTGCACATAAACGCCATATTCCATCTCACATTTCTGAAACTTCTGCTTCTTGAAAAACGAATCAATTTTCAAATTCCAAGCTTTGGGCGCTTGCTTCAGTCCATACAGAGCTTTGTTCAACTTGTATACCATCCCTTCCTGATTCTTTTTCACAAATCCAAGAGGTTATGACACATAAACTTCTTCCTGTAATGGACCGTTCAGAAATGCAGACTTCACATCCAGATCCATTAAAGGCCAATTTCTATTTGCAGCTAAAGCAATCACCAGTCTGATTGTTTCATGCCTAGCTACAGGCGCAAACACCTCAAAGTAATCTACCCCAGGTTTCTGAGGAAAACCTCTAGTTACTAGTCTATCTTTGTGCTTGCCAATTGAACCATCTGGCTTAAGTTTCAACTTAAAAACCCATCTGACGCTGATGGCTTTTTTCTTATCTGGAAGTTTAGTCAATTTCCACATTTTTTTCCTTTCTATTTCCTCAAGTTCTTCTTTTATGGAATTCAACCATTCTTTCTTCTTGAGAGCTTCTTCAATGCCCACTGCTTCAGAATCTATTAACATGGCACACTAAACGACTTCTCCTTTAGAGTCAACTTCATTATCCTGTAACATGTCGAAATCTGCAAACCTTCTTGGTTTTTGTCTGATTCTCTGTGGCCTTTGAGCTTGTTCTAAAGCTGCATCAGAACTACTACCTTCAGAGTTACCACCTTCAGAGTTTTCCCTTCCAGAACTATGATCACCACCATATTTTGGATCATCATCAGCATCTGGCTCTGAATCTGATCCATTGTCAGAATCTTCTTCTGACTCATCTTCAGAATCTTCAGAATCATATTCATCTTCTGAACTTTCTAAAACATCTTCAGAGGCTAACTCTGGTGTTGGCACTACACCAGAATCTGATTGAGACTTATTCCAATCCCATGCTTCAGACTCTTTCACCATAACGTCTCTGCTGACTTCAACTTTATTAGTTTCTAGACAAATAAAGCTTATACGCACTTGTACTGTGATACCCCACCGGCAACATTACTTTGCTTCTATCATCCAGTTTTTATCTTCTAGCTTCTGGAACGTGTTTGTAACAGACAGAGTCAAATACCTTCAGATGACTGACACTCTGCTTATCTCCAATCCATTTTTCTAAAGGAACAACTTCCTTCAGTTTCTTCGTTGGACACCTGTTCAGAATATATGTTGATGTGGCAACAGCTTCTCCCCATAACACGTGAGGTAGCTTTTTTTCTTTCAGCATGCTTCTGGTCATATCAAGCAAAGTTCTGTTTCTTCTTTCAGCAAGACCGTTGTGCTGAGGAGTATATGGGGAAGTAACCTCATGTTCTATTCCATTCTCCTTACAGAAATTCCGAAACTCTGTAGAGTTATACTCACCTCCACCATTCGTTCTCAGAATCTTCAACTTCTGACCACCTTGCTTCTCAGCCTTCACTTTGAACTTTTGGAACTCAGTAAACACTTCATGTTTGAACTTGATGAGTGTTACCCATGTCATTCTTGTAAACTCATCCACAAAAGACACAAAATATTTGTTTCCTCCAAGTGAAGGAACTGGAAATGATCCACACACATCAGAATGTACTACTCCAAGAGCATGCTTCGCTCTAGGGGCTACTTCTGATGCAAATGGAAATCTGGGTTGCTTGCCTTTCATGCATATCTCACATGACTTCTCAGGCTTCACAATCTTCGAAATACCATGTACAAGCTTCTTAGAACATAAATGCCCTAAGCTTCTATAGTTCAAATGCTCCAACCTCTTATGCCACAAATTACTGTCACTTTCAGCGCCTTCTGCACTAAGACACGTTGCTTCAGTTGTTTCTACATTCACCTTGAATGTTCTGTTGCTTCCTTGTTCAGACTTCGTAATTAACTTCTGATTGGAATCATACAACGTCAAGAGATTATTTTTCATGACAATTGAGAAACCTTTCTCAATCAGCTTACCCACGCTCATCAGATTGCTTCTAATACCAAGAACATACCAAACGTCTTTGATCAGAATGTCTTTCCCATTCTTCATTCTAACTCTGACATCTCCCATACCTTCTGCATTAAGATACTTATCGCCAGCGCATCTGATCTTTGTTCTCCTTCTGGAGTCAAAGTCTGTAAGTCATTGTTTGTTTCCAGTTAAGTGATTTGAACAACCAGTGTCCATATACCACCAATCTTCTGAGCATTTTCCATCAGAATCAGAAGCCATTAGTAGCACATGTTAATCACCAGAGTTTCTCTTAGCCATATACGCTTTTTCTGATTTTCTTTTCTTGTTTGGCCTACAAACTCTGGCAAAATGGCCAAATTGTTTACAAGAGTAACATTGAACCTTCCTTTTGTCATACCTCTCCTTTCCTTTATGATATCTCTTATCATCGGAAGTTGAGGTTTCTGACTTCTGGAATCTATCACCATGTTAATTCTGCTTCTGGTCTTTCTTGACAAAAGAAGCCTTCACAGCTTGCTCAGCTTCCCTTTCAGAGGTTCTTTCAGACAGACGTAACTCATATGCTTCTAAACTGCTTTGCAATTCTTCTATTCTCATGGTTTCCAGATCTTTAGAATGTTCAATAGAAACAACAATGTAATCAAACTGAGGAGTAAGCGACCTCAGAATCTTCTCTATGATTACCCGTTCAGATAGATTTTCTCCACACGCATTTATCTCGTTAGTGATCAGAATCACTCTGGAGATATATTCAGAAATTTTCTCACTGCTCTTCATGTTCAAGTTCTCATATTGCTTTCGCAGGGATTAAAGTTTCACCTTCTTTACTGATGCGTCACCACTGTAACATCTCACTAGTAAATCCCACGCCCCTTTTGACGTTGTTGAATCAACAATCTTCTCGAACACACTTTCATCCATACACTGATGGATATAGAACAGAGCTTTCTGGTCCCTCTTCCTCATAACCCTCTCAGTAGTTTTCTATTCTTCAGTTGTATCTGCTGCAGCTGGTACATAACCATCTGTAACCAGATCCAGAACATCTTGTGCACCAAACAACACATGCATTTGTATCATCCATATGTTCCAGTTTTTGCCATTAAAAACTGGGAGTTTAGTGTTCAAACTACTGCCTCCACTCATTTTAAACCTTGCACAGATTTTTTCAGATCTTCAAACACACTGTTTCCCAACCCACATAATCAAATTTTGTTCAGATTTTGTTCAAGATTTCAACAGAAAATCAATGAAACAAAATCAAACACAGCTCGCAATCACTCCTGTTTCCCAGAAAAAAACAGAACCAAGTGTTCTAGATACCAATTTGTTGGTGCAAGGTAATGAAGTGAGAGAAGAAGAATGAACAAGAATGATAACAAGACTACTGTTGTGTATCAAAATAGAGGAGATAAAAATAGGGGTACAATATTGATAACTTAGTATAGTATATTTATACTAAATATTGAAAATACCAAAAGGTCCTATTAACTAAATTATTTTTTCAATAGTATGTTACACGTTACTTTTTTTTACCACGACTAATAACCCATAATTATAAAAAGAACACATACAACTACACACTATCTTACCACAAATCACCGTTCTTTGTAGAATCTTTCTCCTAACTATGATAAGATATGTATTAAGGATAACACGTTGAAATTGTATTGTTCATATTAATCAAAATGCTTAGTCTTATATGCAACTCACTAATAGCCTCGGGTTTATCCACTAATGTTAGAGATTTATACTATAGGAAATCACGGGGAAACAAGATCAATCTTACCCCTGATATATTTCATTACCGTATTAAATTCAAAAGCAAACAATTTTAATTCTAGTATTGATGCTCAAACAACACAACCAGACGCTTTTGTTCAACTAAATTACAAAATTAAATTCAGTAATATTAGCGGTCCTTGAACTCGACACTCAATAGCTCTACCATTTTTATCATTTAAAAGATTTAATACACTTATTAAAATAGCAAAAAGACTTATACGAAAAATCACTCAAGATGGTTTTTAACTAAAAAAGATAAAAACCGATTTAAAATTAATGCCAAAAGATCTCTGTTGTAATCTTGTCATTTATTATGATTATTTATGCTTGAGAGATTAATTTTTGCATTTGTAAAAAATAGAATTGTGTGAGAGTGAAATAGATAGTAGACTTACTGCCAGAAAATAAACAAAAAAAAAAGAGAAAAACTAAGGATATAATACAAGAAGATCATTGTCACTGATAATATATATATTATAATTAAAATGATTATCTTATGATCGTGTGTACCAATGAGGAATAAGGACACCGGCTTTACATATTCTAAGCAAACATAGTTGTCGTTTGTTTTCATCCCACAACTACATGCCATTTGTATCCTTAATCCCATCGACCTATGTCTTCTTCTGTCTCTCACAAACACAAACACAAACACAAACAATTCTTGATATTTATATATATATATATATATATATATATATATATCTATATACTTCAACCTTAACATGTTCAACAAAAACTAATGGCATTGGTGATGATGCTTCCTCAAACAAATGATTCAGAAGATACAACAATTATCAAACTCGAATCAGCATATTCTGATTTAGAATCACTTCTTCAAACATCAAAACAAATGGAACAAAACATGGAAACAATGGAAACAAGGTTTGATCTTTTACAAGGATCAATAACAACAGCATCAAGAAGAATCAACCCTTTACAGTCTTTGTCCATGTCAAGAAAAGCACTTGATACAAGAATCAACAGAGCAATTTCACCAGCTCTTGCACTTCTCGAAACATTCAAACTCGCGGAATCGCTTCAAAACAATCTCCTTAACCTCTCTTCAAAGCTATCAACTGAAAACTCACATCAAAAGAGGCTTCAGAAGCTTCTTGATTACATGGATTGTGTTGATCAGTTGAATTCAGCTATAAACTCTATATGTCAAGTCGTTGAACCGGTTATTATGAGGCTTCAAGAAGTGGTTGAGTTTATAAGTAGAACAAAAGCTGCTGACCAATACAGAACACAGAGGTTAAGAGAAGCACTTATAACTCTTAAAGCACTTTATGAAACTGAGGTTGATGAAATGAGATTTGAAGGATTGTTGGATCAAGCTTTGCTTCATATGCAAGATGAGTTTGAGGCTCTTTTGCTTAAGTTAAAGCATAGGAAGTTGGGTCAATTTTCACACATGCAACATGTTGGTGGTGATGAGAGTGATGATGATTTCAAGGTTAGCTTTGAGCTTGGATCTGACTTGGAACTTGAAGTTCTGAGAAGAATTTCTAACACTCTTGCTGCCAATGATTGCTTAGATATTTGCATCGACATCTATGTTAAGGTAACCCCTTGTTAATATCTATAATCTTGTTGACTATATTCATAGATGCATGCGCCGTGTAGGTTAACCAAGTAAAAATAAATAGATAAATAGATGGCTAATTTAATCGGTTTTATTTAACTATAGTTTAACTGTAACAAATTTTGGACTCTGCATTCAAAACGACCCTAACTATATTATTTATTTACACAAGAGAGTAAATTTTATTGTGATGATTGTTAACAGATAAGATATAAAAGGGCTGCAAAAGCATTGATGAAGCTAAACCCGGAGTACCTAAAAACATACACCCCAGAAGGAATTGATGAAATGGAATGGGAAAACTTGGAAACATCAATAACCCTTTGGACACAACATTTTGAAGTTGCAACAAAGAAAGTTCTTTTATCAGAAAAGCAACTTTGCGAAAGGGTTTTAGGCGAAATCATCGATGGACTAATCCATCCAGAATGCTTTGTGAAAATATCAGACAAGATCATGGCTGTGTTCTTTCGATTTGGAGAAGGCGTGGCACGAAGCAACAAAGAGCCACAAAAACTGTTTAAACTACTAGACATGTTTGAGTCATTGGAGAAACTTAAACCGCATGTACTTGAAATCTTTGATGGAGAATCCGGTGAGGATATCTGCGCACGGTTTCGCGAGCTAGAGAAGCTAATCATTGATGCATCAAGCAAAGTTTTTTGGGAATTCGGGTTGCAAATAGAAGGAAACGTCGACGGCTTTCTTCCGCCTCCACAAGACGGTTCGGTTCCAAAAATAGTAAGATATGCTGTTAACTATCTTAAGTACTTATCCACGGAGAATTACAGAACAACAATGGCTAAAATTTTAAGAACAGAACAAACATGGAAAACCGAGTTGATGTTATCATCGAAACACGAAACGGATGAAGATTTATTGAAGTATGCTATTAGTAATGTAATGGAAGCACTTCAAAGAAACATAGAATCCAAACGTTTGAGTTCTAAAGACAAGATTTTGATGAATATTTTCATGATGAACACGTATTGGTATATGTATATGAGAACAAAAAACACAGAACTTGGTGATTTGTTGGGTGAGAAATATATAAAAGAAAGTTACAAAGCAGTGGCAGAAGAATCAGCTTACTTGTATCAGAAGCAAGCTTGGTTGGTTTTGGTGAAGATTTTGGATCATGACATTGATTTAAAGGAACAAAACCAAGGGAAGGAAAAGAGACTTGGAAGGCTGGTGAATGAAAAGATTGAGACATTTTTCAAGTGTTTGAGTGAGATTTGTGAGAGGCATAGGAGTTTTTATAGTATACCTGATGTTGATTTGAGGGAACAAATGAGGGATGCAACAGTGAAACTTGTTGTGCCGATTTATGCTGAGTTTTTGGAGTCTTATTCCGGATTTTTACAAAGGAAAGCTTATCCTAGTCCTCAAAGGATGCAAGGATTGCTTGGAAAAGCTTTTGGTTCTAATAATGATTGGAATTTGAACGATGCTCGTAACTCTCGTTCGTTGGAAACTGATATCCAACGGTCTAGATGAGATCATGAAGTGCATGTTTGGAAACACGGCGAATTTGATCAAGTTTTGTGTCTTTCTAAACAAGCGCGAATTCATGCATCTTCAAATGCAATTAATTTTATGTCTATTAATGTATGTATGGACTTACTATCGTGTTTTGTTATTGAACTAAAATGTATCAAAGTTGATACAATTGCTAAACTTAGAAGCTTTCACAAAAATACCACTAAGATATAAAAAGATTTGTGCATCATATAATACCAAGTTTGTTGGGAAAATTTGTATTCTTAGTTAGCAAGGTTTGCAATCTCAATGGAATTATAAGAATAAAGATAAAATCATCATTTTACCAAAGGTTAATTTAAGGGAAGATACACGTTTGGGATGAGGAGAAAACAAGAAGCTTCAAGCTACCATTCCCTACATGCAAACTAGTAGATTCGTTCCCCCTCCTTCAAGCAAAGAAACAAAACATTTAACTTCAACTCCTTTCTCATTTACATTTCTTGAAGAAGAAGAAAGACATTCACCATTTTAGGATGGAAAATTCAGTCAAGACTTAAAATACAGGGATAACAAACAACTAAGTTTTCATCAATGCAATTATTGAGTAAATTCTCTTGGGAAAAATAAATTATAGGGAAAAAGAAGAATAAAATAACAACACAAGAAATTAATGTGAAAATTTTAAAATCGGAGAAAAATCACAGTCATTGTCAATAGACAATCAAATAATAACACTATGTGAAAATTGTTATAACACATAATATATCTTCAACTAACTCAGACCCCAATACATCCACACTCTCCAAAACAAATATTTAATTACATCTCACAACACTCTAACACAAGAGCATAAGAGAACAAAGAAAATCAAATAAAAGTTTAAAATGTTTTTGTCTGGTGCATCTTATAAAAAAAACTCGTATCCTATATATAGCTTTGAACCATCTTTTTCTTTACAAAAATAAATAACGTGAAACTTTTTTATCATATACATTTTCAATCAATCTCAAAATATTCAAGATAAAATTAATGCTCCTTGCGACTACCAACATCTTAGCTTTCCTTTAATCATTATTCTTACCAATATTCTTAATTTCATTGCAAGATCAAGCTAATATTTAGGGGAAATTTTACTATCTCTACGCAGAGGCGGATCCAAGATTTTTAAATAGTCGTTATTTTATATTTTTTCAATATTGTCAAATGTAAAGTATAAAAAAATTTAATAATAATATTTTAATATTATTTTGGTTTTTAAATATATAATAAGAATAATTGTTATGCACTGTCAATATAAAATATTTTATACGGTTATATGTAATTTAAAATAAATAAAAAAATTAAATTAAACACAAATTTAACGGTTATGATTTATTGACAATGTAAAATTGTTTTACATCATCGATGTATTTTAATTAAATTAATAATATATTTTTTTATAGTATATGGATATATATGAATTTATATTCATATATATATATATATATATATATATATATATATATATATATATATATATATATATATTATTGTCTTAAACTTTATTGAACCCTTATAAATTTAAGTTTTTAAATTTTACTATAATATAACTATAATAATAATATATTTTATTATTATATATAAGTAACTTAAGCAAATGCATTGCACAATCTAGCGAATATTTTTTTTCCAGTGGGCCACATAATATTATTTACAAAACTTTTACTTTCATTAGATATTAGTGTCTAATAACTTATGAATTATGAATATCTACTTGATTTTACCTGATTAGATTGGACCGTCACGACTGACTCATGCAGAATTTGAGTGAGATGGGGGTACCTGCAAGGCACTCCGATGCTAAAACGAGTGACGGAATGAGCAGGTAAAAAGTGTATGTATGCGTAAGAGATAAATATTCGGTCCTCTAGGAACAGAGGGTATTTATAGCCCCCAGCGCTGGGTCAAAGTTTCCTCATCGGGCCGACCAGAACTGACCCAATAAAGGAACTGCCAGATTCTACGTGTGTAGTGGGGACCCGTACGTGGTCCCCTTCCTGGTGATGCTCTGCGAAGAATGAGGAGGGACGAAGACGCGGTCTTTCTGGGGTTTAGATGATTTGATAACGGTCAGAGAGGACAGAATCTGCCCTACGGGGAGAATGCTCGAGCAGGGCTCGAGCTGGAGTTCCCTTGGTCGGGGACAACATGTGTCGCGGGCCACGACGGGCATGGCTGTAGTCTATGGTCGGGCACGCTGGCGGGAATCCGCGGGCACACATTCCTCGAGAAGCTGCTTGGATTGGGCCTTTATCCCTGCTTTTTGGGCCAGGACGGGCCCAGTCCAGAACAGGAGCCCCCCAAGTCGTTGCTCTTGGAGCAGGAGTTATGACTTGACTTCAGCTCGTCTTTGCCACGGGGTCTGATGCCCGGCCAAAATATTGCTTCCTCGTGCGTGCTCGAGGAGTTTCTCACGGGTTGCGTTCGTAGCGTAATCCTTGTCGACGTGTGCTCGGAGGATTCCTCGCGGGCTGTGTTTGTTGGGTACACGAGGCAATCCTTGGGAACCGTGATGCCACCCTAGCGACAGTAGGGCCATCATTGCCTAGGGGAGTAGATGTCGAAAAGGGGGAGTTCGTGGCTCTCCGAGGCAACGTTTTGTATTCCACGTCATCCCTATAAATAGGATCCTTGGATCCCATAATTTGTTTTTCTTCTTCGCGTTTCTCCTTCTTCCTCTGCTTTCGCCGCCGCTGTTTTTCTACAACATCGCAAGATTACCGTATCTTCCTTCGTTGACTTCCTTCATCGTTGCCGTACATTCTTCTTTGCTTCCAAGTAAGTGTTTATTCCTCCTATTTTTCTTTGTTGTAGGTAGTTTTACCATTATTTAGATGTTAGAAACCCACATCTGAGAGTAGTGCCCAGTATATTCATGTTTGTGCCTGGTAAACTCATAGCTTTAGGTAGATGACTCACAATACTGCCCGTGACCTTCATGGTTTTAGGCGCATAATCCATGATACTGCTCGGTAAAACCATAGTTCTAGGCGTAGGATTCATGATATTGGTCGTCACATTCATAGTTTAGGTCGGCGCACCCATGAGCTGTCCGGGATGTTGACCCCTTAGGAAGTATGTGGTATAACTCGTCGTAGCATCTTAGCGTCGGGGAGGCGAAACAAGGATCTTGTTCGAGTCATCAATGTTTATCACGCGGGGTCTTCATGCTATCCTCTTGTTGTTCCCGACGCCTGGTCGAGTGTGTATGGCTTGTCGCGCACTACTTCCCGTCACTGTGGCGAGCATGCGGATTTGCTCTCAAATTTCACCGGTTTCCTGTGCTTTACAGGTAAATGGCTGACGAACCGGAGTCTTCGAGGCGTAATGAGGTCGAGGACCAAAGTGCCGAAGAGAACGTGACTCTAGTTAATATTGTCGATGATCCTTCGTTGGATTGGGTGGGCGCCGAGCCCCGAGGGATTGCCTTGGCGTATTGTCGGCGTAGTCGGCGCGCATACACTATCGTCGAACACGGCGGTAGTCAACCGGGTTTCCAGAAGAATTTTATTGTGACAAGGCCGTCCCTCGATGCACGAATCTGCTCGGAGTTCACCGAGTATGGGTTTCCAATGTATGAGATCGTGTTCATGGATCTCGACCTTAAGCTCCCTTTCAGTGATTTCCAAGTCGGGGTAATCTGCCATCTGGACTTGGCCCCCTCGCAGCTTCATCCTAATTCGATCGCCTTCCTTCGGACGTTCGAGCTAACATGCCGCTTCTTGAGGATCGGGGCGACCATTCCTCTTTTCTTCAAAGTTTTTCACCTGCAGTGTCAGTCTCGAGGAGGCAGGCATAGCTGGGTTTCCCTGAAACAGTCGAAGAGGCTGTTCAGGATGTACATGGATTTGGTCTGGGGCTTCCAGGACAAGTGGTACGTTCTGCAACCGGTCACCCAGACTGCTTTGGATTCTATGTATGAAGAGGAAATTGCGGTGGTCGACGAGAACGGGGAGTCCCTTATGGACGCTGAGGGTCGTCCGACGATGGGGCATGTATCCAAGTTCATGTTACATTGGTGCTCGCGCCATTACGATCATGGTACCGGGTACTACCATACGCCCGCGGGGGGAATGAGTGCCGAGGATGAGGAAGCCTATGGTACCCTTTGCAAGTATGTCGACAGCTTCTTCCCTGCCCGGTGGGTCACGAGGGAGGGGGAAGATATTCTTTACGAAGAAGGTTACCCGACATTCGAGGCCCGTCCTATCGATACCAAGGCGCTCGTCGAGTGCCAATCCTACGGGCAGGTCGTAGATCTACTAGGTTTCCTTTGTCTTATAGTTTCATTCCAATTTCATTGTTTGTTACTTACTCGAAACTAACCCGAGTTTTCTTCTTTGCAGGCGACATGGCCGAACGAAGGGAGAGGCTTTTAAAACTAACTCAGGACAAGGGAGTAAACAGAAGGCTGGTGCGAGCTCCGCAGGCCACGAGGATGGGCCCGCTGACCAGTTCAGGCGATGCTTCTAGCGGGTCCCCGAGCTCCCCTGACGTCGAGCAGCCCACTGAGCTGATCACGAGAAAGAGAAGTCGGGCAGATAACCAGTCGGAAGTTGGCGACGAGTTTGTCGCCGTGAGGGCCTTCGGCTTACCCCCCTTGTTTTAAAGAGGAAGATTTCTTCAAGGGGGTTTCCCTTGACAGTGAGCACCGAGGAGGCTGAGACCATCATCCGGCTCAACAAAGAAAGTCGGAGAAAACGTCTGGCCGCCAGTATGGTCGGGATGGTGAAGATGACTGAGATGGTCGTTGTCCTTGATGAGGAGGGGTCGGACTCCTCTGATCGCGTCAGGGAACTGGAGTCGGAGAAAGCTGCCCTCGCTGCCGGCTCTCGTAAGTTGAAGGCTGCTCTCGAGCAATCTGAGGAGATGTTCCGCGAACAAGCCGAGCTGCTGGCCGTGGAGAAGGAAAATTCCGGAAAGGTTGCTGAGGAGAGGGATTATTTTCGACTGGATAGGGAACGCTTGGAGGCCGA